AAAGGGTGTCCACAACAGAAGAGGCAAAATATCAAGTACATCGAGTGAACGATATTTGGGAATGCCTACGAATGTAGGGCAGTCCAAGATGGGCACATTTAAATACCTTAGAGATCGAGTCCGGGAGAAAGTCAAGGGATGGATGGAGAAACTCTTATCCTCTGTTGGTAAAGAGATATTGATCAAGGCCGTTGTCCAAGCTCTGCCAGTGTTTTCCATGGCTTGTTTCAGGTTAACCCAAGGTCTCCGTGAGAACATCACATCCATCATCCGCCAATTCTGGTGGGGAAGTAAAGTGGGAAAATGGAAGCCGAGTTGGATTGCATGGGATATCATGGTGAGACGAAAGCATCTTGGGGGTCTTGGCTTCCGTGACATGGAGATCTTCAATTTAGCTTTACTAGCAAGACAGGCTGGAGAGTGCTGAGCGAACCAAAATTTCGTTTGTGCTTTGACATAAATATCGCACCTGTGTCTTATTTGATGTACCTACATCTCATCCAGAGATGCCATTAAGAATATATATTGCCTTTCTCGCGTTCATTTTTGGTGGCTCTGTTATCCTAGTTTTAGGGGCATAACCACTTTCGTTGCTGGGCTTTCTCTCGCTCTCTTCGTTAAAGGGAATATGATGGTCGTTCTTTTCTCCTCCATATCAGTAGTGTGTGCTATACTGATATAACCATGGGAATCGTACAAGTCTACATCATGGAAGTGAATGCGTGGTAACATGATCTTTTTTTTTTTGAAAAACAACACCTCTATTAATTAGAAACAATGGTTACATTGTCTATAAGAAAAGGTACAATATTTTCATAGGCTTTTCGAACCAATCCCTTGTCATGGAACATTTCACGAACCTAGCAAGTTCATGAGCGAAAGTCCTATTCTGATCTCGAGCTCAAATGCACCACAAGAAAATAAAAAATATATAGAAAAAATTCTAAAAAAATGATGATAAAATTTTAAAAATGTTTTGTATGTTTAACAAATTTCAGCATGAAATGACATTCGTGGAAGTTGTGGCAAACAAAAAGTACTCCAAAATGTTTTCAAAACTAGCATGTTTGGAGCATCGCTTTTTTCATGACTTCCTCGAATGTGCTTTCGTGTTTGAAATTTTGCAAGCATACAAATTTTTTGTCAAAATTTACCACAAAATAATTTCAGAATATTTTGAATTATTTTACTTTTCTTTTACTATTCATCAGGGTGCATTTGAGCTCGGGAGCAGATACTTCACGTCCATTCATGAGCTACTTTATTCGCTTCCCTATTACAACGTTCAAAACTAGTAAGAGAAAAATCACCTGCCATAAAACAACAATCATCAAAAACTGCCGTCGCCACTCCTGCAGAATGTCCTCTGTTCTTCATCGTGTCAATAACTTCCATGTTATCAGAGTTAATCATGAGACGATTGCAGCCTGCCTTTTGTGCCATAATAAGTCAAACCTAAGCGCCAACGCTTCCGCTGTCAGAACATCAGCACACCAATCAATCTTCCAATTTCCTTCAACAATGAATTTTCCTTTGTTATCCCTGATTACATCACCGATTGTGCCCCTAAGCAAATCATGAGCATCCACATTCAGCTTAACAAACCCCTTAGGAGGTCTGCTCCATCCTCCATTTCTCCTAGTAGTATTAGGGGAGTGGGCAGTTACATAGTTTGCTGTTATAACTTGAATCCCCATCGAGGTTTCGTACGCCCCTCTTGAAACTCACCCTCATGAACCAACTTACATCTATCACATCATAAATGCCAAGAAGTTATAGCGATCAATTCACGCGCATTAAGGCCCAAAATAGATAGTTCTTGCTGTGACATGAGTAGTAATTCAAGTACTGCCTCTCCCGCATGATCAATAGCACAAGCTTTCTTAATCGCCTTGTACATCCCCAACTTATCCCACACTTTTTTTGCCTTCCGACACAAAAACAACATGTTTTATATCCTTTGGCCCATTCGAGCATGATGGGCAAATGGGCAAAACTTTCATGTGTCCATTGGCAAGCATAACACGACATGCGAGGATTTGTACACCAAATAAATATTTTTACCTTTGCTGGACAAGCTAATTTCCAGATCTTACCCCAAATAGGATTGACCTTGCTTCTACCCATACCATTTGTGTATTGCAATTTCCTCCCGTGTTGTTGTTTCCATTCCTTCGAATAAGCTGATCGAGCAGTGAATAAACCATTTTTTTGTATTCAAGCAATGAAATCCGGCATATTATGCATAGGGAGGGGAATCACAAGGACTCGTTGAGCATCAATTGGCCACAACGTTTGTCTCATCAAATCTTCATCTCAAAAATTCATGACGGGATCAATAGGATCATAATAAACCTTTGGCAGAAGGTGCCCTCGTCTAGGAGTAATAATTTTCCTATTTGCACAATTCGGGACCTAAGCATTTCGCCAAATATCAATAGTTTGTCCATTTCTAACTCACCATATATAACCATTTCTGAGAGAGTTGACTCGCACCATAATGTTTGCCACGTGAAAGAGGAGCCCTTTCTTAAACTTGCGTTCATCAAAGCACCCTCAGGGAAATACTTGGCTCTCAAGATTTCTGCACCTAAGGAATCAGGATTATCCAAACGACGTCAAGCTTGTTTAGCTAACAATGCCAGATTAAAACAATTTATATCTCTAAAGCCCATATATCCTTGGTCTTTTGGAACACACATCTTTCACCACGCCATCCAATGCATCCTTTTTTGATTGTCCTCGTCACCCCACCAAAATTGCGACATCGCATCAATGATTCCTTTGCAAATTTTTGTAGGAACTTTAAAGACAAAAATGGCATAGGTGGGAATAGCTTGTACAACAGGTTTGAGCAAAATTTCCCTCCCTCAGGAGATAATACTTTTTCTTTCCATGCACTATTTTTCATAATAATTTATCAACCAGGAAAATAAAACAACCACTTTTGTCCATACCCACATTGGCAGGCAAACCCAAATATTTATCATTGAGTGCTTCAGTGAGAATATTCAAAATAGTACAAATTTGCGCCTTGTCTTCCACGTTTGCATTGGGGCTAAAAATATGTTAGATTTTTTGACACTTACCATTTGCCCAGAGGCGGCACAATAAGAATCCATAACTAAGCTCAAAGCCTCCACATTCATGGTGTTGGCTCGCATAAGGATCAAAGAGTCATCGGCAAAGATCAGATTGGAAATTGAAGGGGCGTCTCGGCTAACCTTAATACCGGAAATATCACCCTTCTCCGTGTTAGCTAAGAGGGAGGTCAAGCCCTCCGTACATAACAAGAAC